ATGATCATCCGAAACCTACGATTAACGGACGTAGAATTCTGGGACGAGGAACTAGACAAATTGACAAGGATCTTCCTCTGTGATGGCTATCCATCGAAGTAATACAAAGAAACATACGGGCCGTGAAAAGCCGATAGCAGAACGGGGACTATGAGAGAGCAGTAAGGACAGAGAAGGATACACAAAAGTGGATATGCCTACCTTCCTGCGAGCTAATTCAAAAACTGCGGCCAATATGAAGTAAATGGAATATTCCGATAGCCATAAAAGAAAAAGCAACACTTTCACAAGTCTACCGACGCAACAGGAGAGAGTAGACAAATTGCATTGTTGAGGAGTTTACTGTATATCATGCGGCACCTGAAAACATAAATATATTGGCGAAAAAGGGAACAAAATAGCTTATGAATCGAAGAACATCAAATGTTCTGCAGAAAAATGGATACCAAAAAGTCAGAATTAGCGGAAAACATCACACAGACTAGACACGAGATCAATTTGAATGGAACAGAAATAGGGGCCTCACGCAGTAAAAACACAATAAAGCGGAAGATTAAGTAGGCTATTGACATCCTTGGGGAAAAAACTAATGAACAGAAGATTGAGGGAAGGCAGAGTTAGCGATAACTTTTCCTAGTGCTTAGGCAAACTCGGAGTAAACAAGAATACAGCAGAACCATTAAAAAGGAGGTGTCTGGGATCTATCGCTAACCGGAGGAAAAGGGATCACGAGGATACAAGATAAGTGGCAGGGATTTTCGGCAATCAAACGAAGACCTAAGGATGGCTAGGAAAGTTTCAGGCTAAAATTATCCGATTAATACAGACAGCAGTCCAGATTATCTGGTCATGGATAAAAAGGGCTAGTTAAGTAGTTTCCTTATTCTTGCGCCATCCTTAAATACCTGAATGTGGCTAAGACCCTTAGGAACTGATGAAATAAACTAAACCCTTGTCAGGCTCATATCACAAACTCGGCAATAAGATGTATGCGTAATTATATTAACTCGCCTCCTCCGCAAGGTTAGTGATCATGGTCCTCAGCTGGTCCAGTTCCCGAACGTTTGCGTTTGCGTCAGATAATTGCATTCGCGATAACCCCTGTTGGCGCTTGGCTCGGATCCAGAGCAAGTCCATTCTTTCACTCAGATCCGTTTGCAAAGCGCTCAAATGCCCTAGGGCTTCATCTTTAGCCCGGCGTAGTTTGGCTTCACTAAAAATAAAATGATAAGTTATCGGATGGTCTTTGAAAATTCCGAAATTTCCCGCAGTGTTAGCATCAAGAAATAATTTAAATAAATTGGCCAAGTATGCAGATTGACTATGTTTCTCGAGTAAAACCACAATGGCTAGATAATAAAGGCCAAACAGTTTTTGTTGAATTGGATTTAAAAGAGATGATTTCTTTAATGGGATGTTTGTCTTACAGAAACTCGTAAATCAGAGGTTATCAACACACAAATTAGGGGACAATTAGATGTGTAGGGTTAATTTTCAGATAAAATATGAGAAAAGAAATAAATGTCTAAAAATTAGTTAATTAAAAAAAGAAATACGGGCATTTGGGGAATTTTGCCAACTTTGGATGGAAGCTTGATAAAGGTGAATCGGAACAGAAAATAAATAGGGATAAAAACCATTAAATAAGAAATCAGACGATAATTTGAGTACCGTATTTTCCGGCGTATAAGACGACCCCCTGATTTTTCCAGTAGAAATATAGATTTTGTAACGAGGTAAGGGGCACAACAGGAGCTCGGAACCATATTCTAATTAGCGATCCATAAACTAGACTTGGCGTATAAGACGACCCCCCCTTAGGAGCAGAAATTTATGGTATGAAAAGTCGTCTTATACGCCGGAAAATACGGTATATAAACTTTTTGGGAGATGGCAAATCATATATTCAAGTGGTGAAGATAAGCAAGGCTCGGAAGCTTTCCTATCCAATAAAATTTGGTGAGCAAAAGGCAAAATAAACCAGCTTCGCTTAATTATGTGAAGATTAATGCGCATTCTAAAATGCCAAAGGGAAACGCAAAAAATAATCACTCTGCTCTATAACAGCTATATTCACTCAATTTCGACAAAGATGATGAAGGACTGGTAGTTTGAGTTTGGCAGTCAAGAAGTAGTGTGCTGTGTATAGAAGTGGTTTAACCTCGTTTTCTCGACTAAGTCATGTTGCCAGAGCAACCCATGTGAACGCAGCTTGTTCTGAATTCTCTGGCATAACAGTTATGAGAATTTTTAAAATCGGGCCATGGGCTGCGGAATGTACAATTAGAGAATATCAGGGTTAGTATGACAGAGGACTCTGCTCTATGCCATATATACTTTATATATATACTATATACCATATACTATATATATATATATATAAATAAATATAAATATAAATATATAAATATATATATAGATATATAATATCCTATCTACATAATTTCCCCTTTTTATATCTTGGTGAGTGATTCGACAGTAAAGAGAGAAAGCATAGAAATAATTTATTGATAGTGTCAAGAGTCAGTGTCTAACCTATTTTCCACAATCGACGATATGCGAAAAGGCCAGGTGAAAGTAAGTTGATTGAGTAAGCTATCCTCCGGAGTGATTTCAATCCAGTCGACAAGACATAAGTTTCGCTCCAAAGCAGTCATACAATGCTCCTGAAATGAATGAATGCAGAGCAGTCAGCTGACAGCAAATAATTCTCAGAGAGCAGCTTTTACACAATTAAATCAAAGTTATGAATATCAAGAGGGAGTGGTCTCTATTTTGGTCAAGGTTTCCATTTGTTGTATGGAGCTGGTTTGACCTCGTTTTACCAACTTAGTCATACGTTCAGAGAGGCCTATGTGAGCGCACCTTGCACTGAGTCCTATGCCATAATAGTTGTGATAATTTTCAACATCGGATTATGGGCTTGGGAATGCAAAACTAGATATTCGTAGAATTACTATGATATATGACTCTCTAAAAGATGTGCTCACCAAGGTCCTTCTGACAAAACAACAAGATTAATAAAA